TGAATTTGATGAGGTCGCAGTCGAAAATGTCATCTTCGCTTTAGTTGATCTTCACTATCCACAATTTTCCTTACTACTTCCATTAATTCAGAATATTTTTATTTACTGTCATAGCCTACTAACTACTTCTATCAGTACCTTGTACATACTTACCGGAAAACGTTGGAATGCAAGTGGACAGCTATGTGAATGAATATGATTAAACAACATACTTCACCGAAATAATTGTTCATCTCTTGATGCTGATTTCATCACGAACCCTCATCACTTAGTGAGTCAGTAGGAACCCCTAGACAGTTATGTCAGTCGAGTTGAGGACTCTTCAGTAATGATAGCATCGGTGATTGATGCAGGAGCTTCAACATACGTGGCCAGCCAATCGACTATTTACCCAAGGAGACAGAACCTAGTAGCTCATGAATTCTAACTTCTGTCTTTTCGCGAATGTCTTCAATGAGCACTCGTTTTGCACCTTATATATTCCTATCAAATCTGCAATGTTCTTACACACTTTTAATCCTCAAACATCGTCATTTCTCTAGTGATAACAAATGAGTTGATGCAACTGTCTCCACAGATAAGCTACCACAATGTTTTCACTCATCTCAATCAACCATTAATATATAAGCTCAACTTCGATTGGATTATTGGAGTAAATGTGTCGAATATCAATTAGGAGTGCTCATGGGTCATAAATAATCTAAAGTAAAAAATCAGTGAAACATGAATTTTTACTGTCACATATGTAGTGCGACCAAATTTTCTGAAAAATGGGGGTACGAGGATTCTAAATAGATATTTAGGCTGATAACTTGTGAGCTGAGGCAATTTATTAGAAAACAACTATTGAACAAATCATAATAACAACAAATTGTGGATAAAGCACATTTGATGGAGTGACAAACACATGGGCCATAGCGTCTAATAAATCATGGTGCAAGTAAGTGTCAAAAGAAATCGACATTCACAATGAATAGAATATGATGACATCAGTTAAGGGTCAAGAACTGAAATACAACTGTGGGTGAAGACTTGAGACGGTGGTTTTGAATACATAATTCAGATATACATCGTCTTCTAGCGATGGTCTCCGTCAACTTCAAAAGACTTGAGTTTCCGAAGCCGTCCAACTATTTGAAGGGATTCATGTTGTCTGCCTGATATGCTGTATAAATGTAATGTCGTATCACTGAGGTGCTCAAAGATTTGAAATTACGTAATTCATTCGTTGCATTCTAAGTGTCATATTTCCTTTGCTCTCGATTTGCTGCAATCACAAATAAGTAGTCTCACTAGCACTCACAATCTAGTGCTATTGGTAACGAACTTTTATCAAGCAAAACAATACCATACTTATACATTTCTAGCTACATATAATGTTGGTTAGTTCAGCGGATATGCAGTGGTCCAGTGAACAGCCACTCCAAACAACTGAAAAGTTAGAATAATTGTGGAATTAGTTGACGTCAATCTCTATTAATTCTTTATGTATTCCCTATATTTCATAATGTTACATAGTACACAGTATCAAGTATTATATCTTCGTTTAAGACTTTATGTGGATATTTATGTTTAGGTGTTTGTATCAAAGTTTCGAAGATTGAAATGTATATATTAGAGCATGAGTATTTTGTCGCATATCACTAGTCGAACTATTAGTGTTGGATTCTATTTTATTCCCATGTAAGTTGTCCACTTTCTTTGGTTTGCCAGTGGTATAATTTTATTGTTATTTATGGTAATCGCAAATGTATTAGTGTTCGTTTGCCTTCTTAAATTTAAGGGATGTGAGTTACTTCACCCTCTCACTAAATTTCTTATACATATGTGTATATATAAAGCTAAACTACACATTCATTTTAAAGAACTCCAAATATGAGAATGGTCAATCAACTCTGTTTCTACAAAATTTATCATTTGCGCTTCACGTTTTCAAAGGAAAAATTCACTCATCCAGTATTCAATTTAGAATACAAACCGTTGTGATTTCATGCTTGAAATAGCATGAATAGTAGCAATCACACTGAATAACATGACCTAATGACTGCGAGAACTGTCCGAATTCGACAATAGGTGGATGCGTGCAAATGATAAGCGGTTTCCAAATAAACCAACAGATATAACGTTTTGCCTAACACTTATAATGAATTTCTAATTCTTTAGATCGTAGAAACGTGCTTGCGATGGGCTTGTGGTACATTGTAGTAATCATTTGCATGTGAGTCTCACATTCTAGTATTTGTGCAATTTCGTTATATGTGTATTGATGTTAGTCAAGTTGATTACAAGCAGAAACCTCAGCTAGACCAAAGCTGACCAATTCGTCAGAAGCATGAGATTATGTGATGGCCAGCAATAAAGTCTGTTGGATAATTCATGTCAGGAATATACCTTTACCACTGTGTGATAGACGATAGCGAAATTTGATATGCAGTCATAAATTATTACGGATCTATATATATGCTGATAAGTTGAGATCACTGAAGTACACTGTTCATTTTCATATTTGTCTTTCAGAACATTAATTTTTGTCGTCAGTGTAATACTGTGCTTCAAATACAGGAGAGACTGGGAAATTGCACGAATATTCCTCGCAGCAGTGGTGAGTTCTCAAGAAGATCAACTTGACTAGTTAGCTTTGTTTACTAATGGTCATTCCACGTTTGATGAGCACTTTCAAATAGAGTTGAAACGTAATTTATTTCGACAACGAAGCATGTTGAAATGGATCGAAGAATCCCACTCGTGAAAAGTAAGTGTATATCAGCGCATATGCACATTTATTAGAGTACTGGTTTAACTGAGAATTCGAGTACTACTATTTGACTATTACACCACGTTGATGTGCTGCTTTCCGAATCTGTTATTGCATGTACACAGTGTTTTTGATTCCAAATTATTAAATTCCTCATCACTTGATTATATTTCACCTATAGAACTTTTGTGTTTACATCAAGTCACCGTTATAATTTTATCATCTTTATTCTTATTTCTCACCCCTTATCTTACGTCCAGAAGTGTCCCATCCGTTTGTCTGCTTCTCTATGGTATTAACACAGTCTGTCATAGCTCTAACTACACTCACTCTTCGAAATACATATCACTGAATGTTTTAGCTCAATTTCACATTCTTATCGTCTTTTCATTTTATGTGGAATTGTAGTACGATCCACTTTCTGGTATGATTCTAATTAGCCGTTACTGTCTACCGTGTGCTTACGTTGACTGGTTCATGACTGTAAAGCAAGAGGCACTGATTCGCCCTTATTATCCCTGTTTTCAATAAATTATGTAGATATTCAGTCCACTAGTTTTTGTGAAGAAATACATATATAGATGTGTATATTTATTATTATTACTATTGTATCCTTTAATTACTAGAGAAACATTTGGATGTGTATATATATAAATTGAAAGCAGTTCTCCTTACCTCACATTTGCAATCCAAAGAACACCAGTAGAAGACAATTAGCGACAATTAAGAGGTGATTTCGCATGGAATAACAAATTTAGATATTAGAATGTCTAGTCGTCGGAATGTGCAATGGTCACCACTGCTTCTGTATTTTGAAGCTAATTCGCAAAACACACCACACTTGGCAAGAAGAAATCCAAAGGAAACGTGTTGCTGTTGGTAAAGAGGCTACCTTTTTAAATTTTCGAAGTGGCCGAACTGTTTTCTCATTATTGAGGCAGAAAATAGTTGACCTATGTTGAATCAGGGAGAAGGATTGAATTATACGTATTCGTCGGTCGAGTGAACTCGGATTCTATCTGATTCATAAATTTAGCACGATATTCAATCAAAGTGAATTTCGCCTCAATGTTTTAATATCAGATTGTACGAAGGAAAGAATAGACTGTCAGTACAGTTTGTTCTTAGAATCTTCCATCATTTCACAAAGAGGACAAAACATTATCACCAGTGTATCAGCTTTATATCAAAATTTGAGAGCAATCGTTAGACTTATAGTTCCATCCTATTTATCATCCATCTTAACACCAGTTTTATTCTATTAATTGAAATAGATCAAAATTTACTGACTATTATTCATAGTTTATTTTTTGAGTTTAAGCTTTATCACACTGCTAACTGGGAACAAATAATTTCCATGAATAATCTTTACATCGCAATCGAAACTATTCTACAGCTTTATTCTTCATCATGTTACAGTTTGTAGATCCTGATAATTTAGGCTGATTCTAAAGATGAAATAAAGCAAACAGAATTCAGATAAATGGTTCAAATGCAAACAGAGGCAAGATATTTCCAGAATATCATCACAGTAAATAAAAATTTGTGGAAAACAGTTTTGTCAATATTTAAAGACCATGTAGTTTCTTTCAATCCTCAATATGCAAGTAACCGTAAATTTTTCAACTAATCCTCATTATCTCAACGTACTGCTACATTATGACAACTGTTATTTGCCTAAAACGTTTCAAATGACTACTGTTTCTTAGCGTCAGTGTTGGTTACGTGGAGTGCATGTCTGTACCTCGCATTTTTGATATAAATACTCGTAGTGCACTTTTAAATAAGTTTATTTGATATGACAAAATGATACCATGTTCATAACCAGATGATTCCATGTTATATTATTAGGATTGTAAGAAATTAATTGTGTCATTGGATATTGACCCGGGAGATTCAGTTTTCCTGATTGAATTGCCTACACGACAAACAGGAACTGTTATTTTTCATAAGAATCTGCTCTATACAGATTAACATGAGTGTCTTCAGTATTGATTTACTGTGATCGATAGTCAGTTAACCACATCACATCTTTCAAGGTATCTTGCGTGAATTGAGTGTGTCGTGCTCCTCGTGGGTGCGTTATTCGATTATTTTGAAATGACTTTTGGACAAATCGGATAAGTGGAATATTTTGATCTTTGCTATTATAACCAAAGTGTCTCATAATAATAAATAGCTTGAATTTAAATAAAAATCTTTATGTCAGTAAAATCTGAATAAGTCTATCTGGGACGTGAATAAGAGGAGGAGTACATTCAAATGTAAGTTCTGTGCGACGTTATTTATTTCTCTCTTATATTGCCTCTATTTGGCGTAAACTGGTTACTGTTAGAACATTAGTATTAATAGATTAGATATGACATAAGCGACTTGACACTGCAGATGTAGTGGTACATGCTTTACGTGAGCTTCACTTATGCCTAAACGAATAATAACTTGAATGAAGAGACAACTGAACATATTTCTGGCACTTATTACAGGGATATTCATATTAGAAAATCAAAACAAATGATTCAGCGAAGAGACTCTTTTCAACGAATTTATCATCAAGCTGTACAATCGTATATATATGGTTTTGTCCAAGAGGGTGCAAGGACACTATCCTGCATGGTTACGAAAAGGTGGAAGTGGAGCAATAAGAAGCGCGATCATTGAACATCTGGTCGATAATGATCACCCTATCTCTATAGCCTCCGCCTTCAAAGTTATCTACAAGGCAAAGAGTAATTTACCCAAATCCCTACGTACCCGACTCATCTGTATTGCTGAAGCTTTGGCTATCGAAACAGAAAAGCCAGATCTCTGTGTACAGAAAAAGTTCGTTCAAGCCCCCCCAACTTTCATGGTCTTAATCCTCCCTCTATGCTTAAGTATGGTAATCCCCAATCATATTTTAGCTCTACCAATTTTTCATTTTTTTTCCTTTTTGTCTATTCAATTTGTATACTCTTCCTTATTACGTCAATTGTTACTATTCCTACTCTCACTTTTAATTGTCCCCGGTATTATTTCACTTGTTCCACTTGTCATTCGTTGAAAAGAGCCTCTTCGAGAATCACTTGTTTTGATTTTCTATATGTTACAATGGGAATTTTCCATGATATTCATATTACCTAAATCATAGAATCAGGCAATGATTGCTGTAGGAACTAGATGAACTGTAGCCTTCAGGAGGACAAAACGTTCTAGGAATTTTGAATTTAAAGATAGCTGAATTATAACGTTCACAGTCATCCTGATTGATATATGCTGCTAACTGTTATATACTGAAGATTCCTTGAGAAGGCCCAGTCACAAAACACTCCATGGACAGGGACAAACGATTAATCTGAAATAATTGTGAGGTTATGCTGAACAAAACCATCATCAAAAACTCAAAACTACCTCAGCAGGGCCACCAGGCATTCATACTTACAACATGGGTTTCTGAGTACAAAACAAGCACTGTAAAACAAAATTAGTTAACAGAAATTCAAGTACAAGAAGTCCCTTATAAATCAAATAGAACAGTCTCAACAAGCTGGGATCAAATACGTTGTTGACAAGAATCACACACCAGCGCTTCCCATGGACTCTCCGAGGTAAGAATGATCTTCATACGCTCAAGCGAAATCACACAATAACAGTGTACAGACAACCACGAACAGAAGCACTAAACTAATAAAATAATAATAAAGATGAAATTAACACATGATATGCAAATATCAAAATAATGTCAGACAGTAATGAAGCAAAACTGACGATAATTACAACGTTAGTTACAAATGTTTTCAGTGGCCCGTTCAAGAGGGATTTTCGGATCAACGTTTCCGTTACAACTCTGGTAATATGTAGTAGCAAACTGGCTTGATTATTGGATATATATAACCGTGAAACACTCTGTCATTTTGAGCAAAATTTATTGTTCATATTTATATCACCTGTGGCATAATTGATATAACAATGAACACCAAACTGTGTTCAAAATGCCATCTAGTAATTAATACTGTTTCACTTTCTGGCATTTACAAAAAATAAACTACCACGAGATAAGATAAATATAATTAAGGAGGATGAATTATCTAATTATTATTCAGAAAAATCAACATGTGAAGCAATTGCCTGAATTATCTAGACTTGTAATAACAATGATAATACAATATCAGTAATTGAAATGTCTGTTTACAGTAACGATTACATGGGAAAACATCATTTGTAGGACTGTGTAGTGAATACGCTGACGACCGCAACAATGAAAGTTGATGTAAGTATTCTTCGAAAGAAACATTTTAGTTTTATTCCAGTTTAATTCCGACCGTCTCTGTCGAATGATATATTTGGAGTAGTAGAGTATGAGAAAAGTCCATTGAAGTGCCATAAGCATCTTTAAAGGCCTAATTATTGTAGACGCGATATCTTGATGAAAATAGGGCTACATGTCTCCTTAATTAGTCCTTCGCTAAATCAAGAGGGGTAGTGCTTGCAGATTCAAAGTAGGTGTAGAGAAATTGACTCTACTGGAGCAGTTAAACTGTGGCACATACTGCGGTAAAAGTGGTCAGTTTATATTTATGTCTCGAACTAAATACCAATCAGCTAGTGTATAAACAGTGAAACCTGTAATGCCCGTAGCACCTCATATAAATATAACATAATCTCAATGTATAATAAGATGGATGGAGGCGATCGACAGGAATCCTTCGATCTGGATTTTGAGCTTGTGTGTACTCGTCACTAAAGCACGTCTGCAATCTTGAAAGGACTTATTTCTTTCCTGAGACTGTTACCCGTGTCATCCAAAGCTGCAATCCAAGATATTAGCATGGATCTATTCAGGCTCTCGATCGCCCTCTTTATATATGCACATATATAAGTACTGTAAGTAGCGACACATTTGTTACGGCCTTTTTTGACCTGATAAATCTTACCACATGTATTTTCACCAACATTTCTCAACCACAGTGAGAGAGAGGACAACTGACGTTCTTGTATTTCATTCCCACCAAATTAAATAATTAAATTCAACATCTTCACAGCAAACTGCACACCGGAAGAGTATGTTGTATGTATTATCTGTAATACTATCTACTTATACTTCATTGTGTTTCCACAAACATTCTGTTTATAGTGGTCTCATTATTATTACTATTTTAAAGTTTATGTATGTAGACATCTATAAAAGGAGCTAAATTGCTGCAATATGTATAAAGACGTTGAACATCTCATTATGTATAACTGTTATTGTTTGAAATAAAGTTATTAATTATTATAAATTAAATATTCTGCAATCATCACTTTCGTAATATTTCCTTTGCATTTACATTCAATTGTGTTCTCCGACCTAGTTGATTTAATTGCGAGGCTTTCATCCTCCTTCTAGAAAACATCTTCAGTGGAAACTTTAGTATCAGGTGAACATATTTCAATTCCCCGTGAAGATGTTACCCAGAAGGACGATGAAAGCTTTGCATTTAAATCAACCATCTCAGTGATCACAACCAAATAAAAATCATCCCACTGAGCTGAACTTTTTCACCATTTTCTCCTTCAGATGAATGCAACAGAAGCGAACAATATACTAAAGCAGATTTTTGAATATGCAGCCTCCATTGTAATGGAAAATGATTATGTTTCGGACGTATATTTAAACGCAGCATCCATAGCCATGTAAGTTTCAATTTAGGTGTTTAATTTCCATCTTTCCACTGGAAGTTTCATTTGGATATTTAAGCCTCATCGAGGAAGGCAGCTCTCAAATAACTGACAGATCATTGCAAAATAACTTGGGTTTCAACCGAAATAGATTGAACACATCAGCAAACACTCCCTAATGGGAAACAATCTAGCCATAAGTGACTCAACAATCCTGTTATTTCCTGACTTATTTAAACAAATTTCACTTCTTCAAATAAATGACTCCACATATTCAACATTTGCTGTCAGGTGTCACAAATACAACAAACACTGAGCAGTAACATTTAGTGGACGAAGAATTTCTGCATTGCATAGTGGCTAAAATCGACTCGTTGTGGTGTTAACGCAGAAAATCGCTCCCTGAGTCCTACTGTTTGGCTATGTGGAAATTCCTTGAGAAATACTCAGTTATAAACCGCTCAAAGGGCAGCAAAATGACCATTGTTTGTGATCGCAATCTACGTGTGGTTCTATTCAAGAAAGCTATCACCAAAAACTCAAAACTACCTCAGCAGGGCCACCAGGCATCCATACAAGCGAAACGGGTTTCTAAGTGCAAAAAAATCACTATAAAGCAAAATAAGTTAACTGAAATTCAAGTTTAAGAAGTCCCTTAGAAATCGAGTAGAACAGTCCCAGCGAGCTGGGATCGAAATCTCTGTACACAAAAATCACACACCAACGCTTCCAGCGGACTGTCTGAGGAAAGAATGATCTTCATATGCTCAGGCGAAATCACACAATATCAGTGTGCACACAACTATGAACAGAAGCACTAAAACTAGAGAATAGACTAGAGATGAAGACAAATAACAAGGATAAAATCAAAACATGATATGCAAATGTTAAAATAATGAAATACAGTATGATAAAAAATTGATTATACACACAAAGTTAGTTGCAACGTCCGAATAGGTAGAAGTCTTGTCATTGGATCGTTTGAGATGGGATTTTCCGAACAAGTTTTCAAATTATAACATCCATTGAATTGTACACAATCTCTGTTTTATTTTTCAGCGTGATATGTCTGTTGCTGCTTACACTGCTGCTTATCAACAAGCGGTTCAAGTTCCTTCCACGACCAATTGTTTATGCGCTAATTGCATTGATGGTATGTTTTCAATAGTGCGACTTTTAATAGTGATTCTCGTGTTCATTGTCCTTGATAACACGTATTGCTGTCTCTTGAATTTTCAGTTTGCATAACCAAAAGTAGCGATCATTAAGAAATGTAGTTGAGAAAGCAGTTGTATTTTACTTTGCTGACAGATATAATAAACTGTAATCTATTGCTTAAGAACTACTGAGGAGAGAATGCTTGTTGAATATATTTACCAGACATTCATATGCAACAGTTAGGAACTATAATTCTTAATCTTTAGAAACTCGGTCATTTCACACAACTCTGAGATGTTTGATTGGTATATCGGACGACAATTCAAGGAAGAAGTTCTTTCGTATTCTGTATTATCAGAAATAAGGCAATAATATTTTCCAGACAGAAAATGACATGCAATCGGATGTTCATTAAATTGGAGGTAGATATAATTTAAGAAAACCACTAAAGCCGAGAAATCTCATCTGCTCAATTGAGTGTTCAATGGCGCAACAACCAGAAAGGACTGCGCAACATTCCAATTGGTGTTGCGAATATGCACTGTTGGTGCATGTAATCTTTCCACTGATGATCGGTTAAAGTGATTTTCCAGCCCATTTCAATTTGTTCCCTCTGTACAGTGAATCAAGCTTAATATTATGTTTTTCTTTCATTTCTTCTTCAATTAGGTTTTACTCTGGGTAACTGCATACTCTTTACTATGTTGCAATGATAACCCTGTAGAACTGAATACATTTCTCGGTGTTTCTATTGCAGTACACGCAATTGTAGGCTTCGTCGCCACTTATGTTGGAAAACTAGGTGTAGCTAATTGTGTCACACTGATGATAGTGGCCATAGTAGCATTCATTGGCGGTGCAGTATTTTCTACTCTGCATTATATTGATGTAAGTAAACAATGATTTTGAATAATTTGATTCCTGGAATTTTCGATTTGTTTCGTTTACTTAAAAATGCCAGCGCCATATCAGTCACAATATGACAATTAGTTTGACTTTACATGATCTGTACTTGTTTCAATGGCCTAAACTTCATGTGTTCAAGGGAAATGCATGTTTTTGTTTGTGTTTCGCAACCTGTATTCCATAATTCTGTTGAAATAAACTCCTGCAGGTTCGCATTAGTTATACCATACAACGAACATATGTAACAACATATGGCAGTGTCGTCTTCTGCCACACGTTTAGTCGGGGAAAACAAAATACTATTTTACTTACCTATAACAATTATTATGTCAGGCGTTATAACACAATCTGTCATCCTTCTGAAATCTGCCGAACAAATGAATAATTCTGAATGATTCCAGGATCAGTGAGAAAACGACTTGGAAATCTGTGAGTACAAGACAGCTGAGAAACGACCGAGTGACCCGTGAATTCCGACTTCTGCACATTCACGAAATAGCACAACCACTAGTCAGTGTCAATGGCGAGTATCTGTTGTCTCAACCGACACGCTGTACCCCACTGAAAGAAATTTACACATTAATCAGTTGTAATCAAGAGTATTTCAACAGTTCTCGGTAAACACCAAATACAGTGACATTATTCATTCTTAATTCAATTTTAATTTTCCCGTCCACAGACTGGACTGAAATTTTACGTATCTGTTGACATGTTGGCGGCTCATGCGAATGCCTCAACGATGTCTGACGATTTCACCTGGAGTATTTCGGTGGATGGTGACTAGTAGTGGGATGCAGGATTCACATTTAGTATAACACCTCGGTGTTTGAAACGATGGGTAGTGTGCTCGAGTCTCAGTGGGGCACAACATCACTCACTAGGGAATGCGGGGATATCCAACTGATGAGTCCCAAATAGAACAAAGTGTGCACCTTGAATTCCATTGCTAGTCACCATCCACCAAATTACTAAAACGGAATTAATTAATTATTATTATTAATTATTCATTTTTGATGACTCATGTTATTCCATATCAAACATTTGTCATTTGTTTCATATTTAATGACAAAAAAAGCGTGTTGATCTGCAAAGAGGTTGTTTTCGGTGAATTCATTTCCATTAGCTGTACAATCGCATTTATCTACAAATATTTTCATGGAAGATGACAGTAACGAAAGAAGAAAAGCGATGAGTTGACACAATTATTGTTGTCTCAATTGCTCAATGCATAAATGGAACTGATAAGTGTATTATACAACATACAGATTTTCTCAATACTCAAGATCAGATGGCCGGAAAGGATCAGCAACAAAGATCTCTGGGAGCGAACCAACAGGAACCCATTGTGAAACAATAGGCAGGAAAAATGAAGATGGATTGGCCACACTCTGAGGAAACCAGCAAGTGACATCACTAGACAAGCCCTCGAGTGGAACCCGAAAGGGAAGCGGCGAGTTGGTCGTCCAAGAGTGACCTGGAGGAGATCATGTGAAGAGGAGATGAAAGCATGTGGGCAGACCTGGAGCCAGGTGAAAACTCTAGCAGAGAATCGAACGCAATGGAGACGCATGGCTGAAGCCCTATGTTCCTCTAGGAACTAAAGGAAATAATAATAATAAGTGTATTTTAAGTGGGTAATCAGATGAATACCTTACTGCATGAGTTGTAATCAGGATGCACAAAGAAACCATTATAAGTGCGGAATAATGTAAGATTTCTGACGAAATACAAGACCTATAAGGAGTAAGAAAAGCAAACCAACTCACTTCAAAAGCTGTGTGTTCGGTTGTGGATCACTTGACATTTGGCATTGTCATATATCTGTTGAATGAGACTAATAACAGTTATGACTAAGACAGTTCAACAATTTCGTAACTACCCGCATTCATGATAAAATTGTAAACAAATGCGGTTGTACTGGTTGAGAAAATGAGCACTCTGAAAAGAATCTCTTGTATGAAAACCGTGTTATTATTTCTTTATTGTTTAAATGAGAAATATTCATGAATTGTTCCATGTTTGTTTCAGCATTTGTTCGAATACATGGCTGCTATTTGTTGGGGCGGTACTTCAGCTATCGTGAGTCATTTATTATTATTGTATCCTTTAATTCCTACAGGAACATAGGGCTTCAGCCGTGCGTCTCCACTGCGATCTGTTCTCTGCTAGAGTCTTCACCTGGCTCCAAGTCTGCCCACACGTTTTCATCTCCTCTTCACATGACCTCCTCCAAGTCACCCTTGCACTGACGACCAACTCGCCGCTTCCCTTTCGGGTTCCACTCGAGCAATGGCTTGTCTAGTGATGTCACTTGATGGTTTCCTAAGAGTATGTCCAATCCATCTCCATTTCCTCCTGCCTATTTGTTTCACAATCGGTTCCTGTTGCTGATCTTTTCTGGCCATCTGATCTTGAGTACTGAGTGAAGACAGCTGCTGATGAAAGTCTGTAGTTTGTTTGAGATGCTCTTTATGACGCGCCAAGACTCTGATCCGTATAGTAGCACTGACTTCACATTGGAGTTGAAAATCCGGATCTTAGTTTTGATGTTGAGTGCTGTTGACCTCCACAAAGACTTCAGAGTAGTGAAAGCTTGTCTTGCTTTTCCAATTCATGCTTTGATATCCTCGTCAGCTCCGTCCGTCTGTAGTTGAAATGATGCTCCAGGTAGGTAGGTAAAAGAGGTTGTTTCTTTCAGGTTCCTCCCATTTATGCTGATTGTTGTCTGTTGTTTTTGTTGCTGTTGGTGGTGTTGGCCAGGAATCTTCATCACCTCTGTCTTCTCTATGTTCACCTGAATGCCTATCTTTGATGCTTCTTCTGCCAACTTGTTGCTTTTCGCTTGCATATCTTCCAGTTTGTGGGAAATCAGACATATATCATCGGCGAAGCTCAGATCCTCCAAGTTTTTGTGTGTGTCCATTTTATGCCTGTTTCCTCAGTGCCCACTGTTTGTCGCATTATCCAGTCTACTGCAATCCGGAAAATCATTGGCGATAGTAGGCAGCCAGCTTGTCTTACTCCTGTCCTCACTTCGAAGGACTCCGTAAGTTTTCCCTTGTGGATTACTTGGCGTGCAGCATTGTCGTATAGCTGTTGGATGAGATGTATTATTGTCGGTGGCACCCCGTAGTAGCGAAGTAGTTTCCAAATCACCTCTCGATCGACGCTGTCAAAGGCCTTTTCAAAGTCGATAAAGTTGAGATAGAGAGGTGACTGCCACTCTAAGCTTTGCTCAATGATGATCCGTAATGTGGCGATCTGGTCAATGCATGACTTGTTCCTCCTGAATCCAGCCTGTTCCGGTCGAAGTTTTTCATCCGGGGCATGTCTGATTCTCTCCAGGATGATGCGGCTTAGTATTTTGCTTGGGATGGACAGGAGCATAATTCCGCGCCAGTTCTTGCATTGACTTAGGTCTCCTTTCTTTGGTAGTTTGAACAAGTAGTGAGTCATTTACTCTTACTCAATATATTAACTTGTTAGTATATAGACGAGATATCTTGTTATGTAGATATGAACAGGCCAATAACAACTGATAAATGAACGTATCAGTAACATGTGAGCATTTCAATAAAGTATACCGTCGGTCAGCGGAGAATATTCTTTCCCTAAATTCTCATCAGCGATGTATAACTGATTGATGTTCCCTAAAAATCATAGAAAATGCCAACAAATATCTGCTACTAACATGAGGTGACAACAAATCATATGAAATTATGTATCAAGAAGAAGAGGCTGGACAAGTTGCGAAATTCGAATACGTAGTCTCACATTATCTGAAAATATTAATTGAAGAGCGTGTTCACAAATGGCTGTCATTAAAACTGTAAGCTCTTGGAGACAGAAACACTGTTCATAAGATTAGGAGATTTAGGAAATGTATGAGGAGCACATTTTAAAGTTCGGAGTATGCAAAGAAATATGAAAAAGCATGAAGATAGCACTTACATCAAATTATTGCTACAGTCAAACGAAGATTTAGCGTCATCGAGGTAGGACGGATAATGAGAAACAGCTTGGACTATGCAGTTCAAGGCTTCTCCTCTACATGACAAAAGCTTCCTCCTCTCTTGACGCAGACTGATGCATAATTCCAAGAGAATCACTAATTGATCTACTGGTTCATCTAATTCCTCCTTCTGGAAACTACCTTCAAAATAATGTCTATATATTCACGTCTAGATAAGGTATACGTCAAAAGGGTTTTTCCGATTCTAGTTCAGACATCTTGGTCCGTGCTGTCATTTTAGTTGAAAACACGCTGCCCGTATAAGTGATTGCCTTCAAAATTCTTCCGTTGACAGTGATTGGTGCTTGCTGTGGTTGGCTGGTTAATAACATCTCCTCTGTATTTTAAATATTTAGCTGAAGTTCTGTCTCTTCTGCTTCGTGTGTCACTTTGTTTGTTTTCGCTTATTAGTATTCCAGTCTATGTGACATGAGATATCAGTCCTCAGTAAAGTTCATATTCTCTTAGGTCTTCTTGTCAGTCCAACATATTCATGTATTCTCACATCCCACAGTCTACCATATGATCCAGTGTCATCAAAGAAATTACGCAGACTCGTTTTACTCGTGTTCTCACGTTAAACGCTAAGTTTTTCCATTGAGGATCACTTGACATGCGGAACTGTCGTGTACGTGTTCAATCAGGTTGAGGAAGACTTGAGACACGCAACGGTGTTGAAGGGATTTCCAAATTACAATGTCGTCAACGCTGTCAGTCTTCCCCGGACTGACTGTTGACACATCAAATGCAGAGAGTATTCATATGAATCTATGCACAATTTCCCAGCTCAAATGTTACTTACAGTCAATGAAAACAGTTCAGCGCTATTTATTTCATGTAAACACTTGAACAGACGTTATACAGAAATTATAAGCAACAATGGGTGCACGTGAATTTCCGGCATTTCTCCAAGGTATTACGTAGATAATTACGAAAGTCTTCTCTTTTACTCCCCCCTAAAATGTTTTATAATGTAAGCTGCATTTACATAGCATGTGTTTCATCTTATCATGCTTGAACTTGAATTCGCTTGATGTCAATTCGCAGAACATCTCATACAAACAGGTTTTTCAGTTAGCCATGTTCTGTTTACTAAATCTCTGATAAACCTAAAAGTTTAACGAAACGAAACTGCTATATAAGCGCCTTTGAAAATATTAAACAACATTCTTCGTCTCCTTGAAACTTTTAGATATTATTCGTCGTAGTGAATCGAATCCACTGGTCAAAGAAGAAATAGCTCCGAAATAAGTTGGACACTTTGATTTCATTCATTGATATCCTGATTATTTACTTTGATTGACTGCATGAAATCTTCAAATAATAATAACATGAACTTGATTCCGAATACATTTCATAACTTTCTGATTGACTATTCCCTCATCCTATATGCAATAAAAACATATTGAATAAAAAAAATGAATAGTTTTATAATCTGCACATCTATCAATGTCAGATAAGTTTATATTAATATGCATAACCGAAATAAACATCTGGGTCGTGACAGGATTAAAGACAGTGATATTTGGATAAGTAACTGGATTTCCTAGCAGATGAGATATAAAGCCAGTGCGTAGTAGTGACTAATGTTCATGGAACTATATTGGCAAAAGTGGTCGGCAGTATTAGATAGAAGTATTTCCTGTTGTCGTAAATGTTACACTACACACAAAATTCCTCCATGTTCCAACGGAATCAGAAGTCATTTTTTCAGGAGGAACAATAACACGACTCACTAATTCCTGTCCAAGTAGCGATGAACTGAAAGTATTAAAATGTCCCAGGATACTCTTCCCATTTACGGAGTAAACTTGTGGATAACTTTTAGAAGTTAACACGGTACTTAGAACTTAATGAAGAAGCAAATATTATTTGTATCGACTTCATTGAAAGCTACCCGTATATTCCATTTGGTAAACTGATCCCACTTACTTCAGTTGGTTGAACTCCTAGAAAAGTAAATGAATATTTACTTTCAAATTCTGTATCCGGTTATCGGGTTTGCAAATACCGAAACTAACCAAAAACAGCAATAAGAACAACAATGAGAATACTTTCATCCTGAAAAGTGCACATAGACACAATACAAAATTTTCAGCGAGGTCCACAGCAATTCTTCATATAATATAATAACCGATAATACATGTCATCCGAAGCAATATCCTTCCATCCAAAACATGTCCTATCACTACTCCACAATGTGATTCCCTATTTCCTAGCGATAGGTGGAAACTTATTTGAAATAGCATGTGAGTGTAGATCGGGGCTCATTGTGGTTATTCGAAGAGTAGAACAGTTTTAAAATGAGAAAAAAACATGCTGTTTGATTATTAATTTAGGTACCCCAGTGATTTCGAAAATACACCTCACTTGACTTTCTGGAAGCACTATACCATTTCATGGCATTCTTAGCAAAATATTCGCTTTTGATGTAAAGAAGAAATAGCGAATAATGGAATCCCTTTCACCTCGAAATCCCCGTCACATATGACTGTCAGTTTATCTGCATTTTTTTGTGGATATCAAAGCGTTCATTAACTTGACTATGCTGAGTGTCTCCTACTTATGACGTGCAACCATCTGCTAATATTGGATTAATAAATGAGCCCATTGCACCACCATGGACTTCATCTCAACTCAATGATGAAACTGGTTCCAAAGGCGATCATCATCAGGAGTGTGTAAATTTATAGTAATCAGGTTTCACACATACACTAAAAAGTCGACAGTTCGAATCACTTGGCAGGAATATTACAATGTTAGGATTTCATTTATTCTTGATCAGCCTGGAGCCGAAAATGCGTCTGTATATATTAACCAGCTAACATTACTAAAAGCAGCAGGAGAATTCGACGACAGCTTCCACCGCTATACGAAAGCACATCCTAGCGTGGAAACATAAAGGCGGAAGGCGGGATGTGACAAACTCTTTTCCAGATAATCGAGAACTTTCGCAGTTAATTCTTGTTGACAATAATCTCAGAATGCCCCATCAAATTTCCTCACACCTTTGTGTTTATTTTGCTTACAACAGCCCAAAACACTGCACGATGTGGTTATTCATGAAATGAAGCCCGATTTTGTGAACGCAATCAGCAAGTATATCCTCTTAGTTGACCATGACTTTAACCAGTAGCCACTCCTTTGCCACTACCATTGTTTTCTCATTGTTGTCTTCACTTCGTTCTCCCATCGGTGATGATTCCACAGAAGCGTTTCAATTAGCTGATGTCTTAGCAGTCGAAAATATCAACATCGCTTTTGTTGATCTTCACTATCCACAATTTTCCTTACTACTTCCAGTAATTCAGAATATTTTTATTTACTGTCATAGCCTACTAACTACTTCTATCAGTACCTTGTACGTATACTTACCGGAAAACGGTATGTGAATGCGAGTGGACAGCTATGTGAATGAATATGATTAAACAACATACTTCACCGAAATAATTGTTCATCTCTTAATGCTGATTTCATCACGAACCCTCATCACTTGGTGAGTCAGTAGGAACAACTGGACAGTCATTTCACTCGTGTTTAGGACACTTCAGCAATGATGACATAGGTGATTGATGCAGGAGCTACAACATACGCGGCCAGCCAATCGACTATTGATCGAAGGAGACAGAAAATAAAATAATGCTTATTCCAACCTAGTAGCTCATGAATTCTAACTTCTCTCTATTCGCTAATGTCTTCAATGAGCACCCGTTTTGCACCATAAGGGACGAAAGATAGAAGTTATATATTCCTATCAAATCTGCAATGTTCTTACCCTCTTTTAATCCTCAAATATTGTCATTTCTCTAGTGATAACAAGTGAGTTGATGCAACTTACAACTGTCACCATAGATAAGCTACCACAATGTTTTCACTCATCTCAATCAATCATCAGTATACAACCTCAACTTCTATTGGATTATTGGAGTAAATGTGTCGAATATCAATTACGAATGCTCATGGGTCATAAATAATCTAAAGTAAAAAGTCAGTAAAACATGAATTTTCGCTGTCACATATGTAGCTCGACCGAAGTTTCTCAGAAACCGCCTTCTAGAGATGGTCTCCGTCAACTTCAAGAGAATTGAGATTCTGAAGCTGTCTACTTATTTGAAGGGTTTCATGTAGTCTACTTGATATGCTGTGTTAATGGAATGTCGCATCACTGAGGTTTTCAAAGATTAATTATTATTTATTCATTCGTTGCATTCTAAGTGTCATATTCACTTTGCTCTCGCTTTGCTGCAATCACAAATAAGTAGTTTCACTACCACTCACAATTCCTCATACTTTCTTTCCATGACCGCTTTCATGTCACCTCTCCAGTTTAGGAGATACAATACCAACATCGTCTTTTAGTCTTTTTATCAGTTCGTTGTATGTCGCCATACTCAGTCTTCTTTTTATGGCACTCGATCCAGTCCAGCAAAATGAGGCAAGTCATCGGCAATAGTAGGCAGTCTGGATTGCCTCTAATCTTCACCTCAAGCATTTCACTGAAATCCCCATTGTGAATTACTAGGCATGGGGCGTCAACATTTAGCTGTTGAATAATGTTTATGAGTACTCGCAGCATTACGTTAAAACTGTTTTGGAATTACTTCACGGCTGATTTCGCTGAAGGCCTTCACGAGATGCACAAAGTTGAGGTAATCAGTCGACTGCCATTCTAAGTCTTGTTCGTCAGTGATGAGTGTTGCTTCAATTTGATACGTGTAATTTGTTCTACCTGAATATAGGAGGATCCAGAAGAAATCTTTCATGGAAAACATCCCTAAGTGTTTCCAGTATTATGTCAGTTAGTAATCTGCATGACTGTGCTCTACTTTTTAAACAGGCAGGTGTTAGTGTTCTTCAGCGTTTTGGCAAGGTAACCTTTCCCTTGTCGGCTGCTTCCTTTCTTCTTTGTACATTTGTTTCGGTAGTGGCCTGGACAGGTATGCTTAGGTCTCTTGAATGTCATGCTGGTGACTGCAGAAGACATATTACACTACTGCCGACAATTCAGTCAGTTCACTTTTATTCCATTTGATTTCAAAAATTCTTAGTACTTCTACACCATATTCTCTTATTTATTCTGCATTCTGAGCAGCCATATTCGTCGGTGTACTGGCCTCACTAAAACTCCATGCACCCGTTAGTGTCATCCTTTCTAGAATCGAAAATTGTTCATGATTCGAACACAGAATAAGTTTGTTTTAGTGGCGATGGGTAGTGGTTGATGCGATAAGGATGATGGTCAATATAATATTTGTAACGCAATAATTGTTTGAAAAATTCTGCCTGAATGGGCTAATGAAAATATTTATACTTATTAACATGTTGACCAGATGCTTATGATTTTCGTCGTTCTTGTTCATTCTCTTATTTGAAAACTTCTCTTTGCGGTTGTGTGATGATACTGGAGGCCAAACACGTTGCCCTTCTTCCAGTTCCCACTCAACAGAATGCCGTGTGATATACTTTACTGTGTTGTCACATATGACTTATTCACCTCCATTTTCATCTGCATATTCCTGGCAGAAATTTCCAAACACTTATTCCGTTATTATTATTATTACTGTTTCCTTTAGTTCCTAGAGGAACATAGGGCTTCAGCCACAACTCTTCATTGCGTTCGGTTCTCTTCCAACGTTTTCATCGCCTGGCTCCACGTCTGCCCACATGCTTTCATCTACTCTTCACATGACGCTGAAGAGTCCTAAACTCGACTGACATGACTGTCCAGTTTTTCCTACTGACTCGCTAGATGATGAGGGTTCGTGATGAAATCAGCATTAAGAGATGAACAATTATTTCGGTGAAGTATGTTGTTTAATCATATTCATTCACATAGCTGTCCACTTGCATTCACATACCGTTTTCCGGTAAGTATGTACAAGGTACTGATAGAAGTAGTTAGTAGGCTATGACAGTAAATAAAAATATTCTGAATTACTGGAAGTAGTAAGGAAAATTGTGGATAGTGAAGATCAACAAAAGCGATGTTGACATTTTTCGAATGCTAACACATCAACTTCGACAGGAATTCTGAATTTGTTTTCTTATATATATGTATATATAGCAATTTTATCGACGCTTTCAGTGCCATATTTCCTACATTATTTTCAATGTCTTTTTATACCAGTTTTACTCTGCTTATTCGTCTTTTTACGTTCTTGAATAAAATGCGATTATGATTCAGAAATTATTACTGGTCATGTTGGCTATCAATGGAAGTTAATTTACTAATAAATGACA